AAAACCTCGTTAGAAGCAGTAAAGGGTACTGAACTGTTACGTGATATGTTCTATATGACATAAAATACTGGAACATCTCAAAAATGCGATTCTATAGAAATATACTGAGGATATCACGGACAGAATGTGAGCAACGAGGAAATTTTAGAGAAAAATGGAATAAAAAAGGCATTTTACTTAACATCAGTAAGAGACAGCGTTGCGGAATCTATGCTGAGTAAGAGGATGTAGCAGAAGGTGATTTTTTGTGAAGGCCAAGAATATGCGTGATCGTAATGCATTTATTCACAATAAATAAAACAAAAATAAATAGACAATTCAACTTCAAGAAATTACTGAAAACAACGATATTTAGAGATTTCAACACTAACGTGATTTTTTATATTTATATATATATATATATATATATATATATATATATATATATATATATATATTTGACATACACAAAGTGATAATAAGTTGCTTGTTAAATGTGGCAAGTGACATAAAGTACAATGATTGTCCATGCAGAAATTTAGTGAGTAAAGGTTGATAGTTTAAGTTTGTTTGTGGAATTAAAATAGTTTTATATCTGCAAGGAAAATTGTCAATTGTGTAAGTTCAAATGATAGTGTGTATGTGTGTGACAACTGCTAGTGTTGATTTTGTAGTGATAATGCCACTTTTTTAGTAAATTGTAAGTTAGGTTTCTTCACGCGGTAGTTGTGCGAGTTGTGTTGAGTTGATGAGAGGTTGGTAGTGGTTATTGAGTCAGTGTGTTGGCACGCGTGGGGTCTGCTGGTATCTCTCGAAACTCAATGTCTGACTGACTTGAATTAAGTCGAGCGATTCTTTTTATAGATTTTCGAGTTTCCAAATAGGCACCAGAGACCTGCGCGGGAAAAAGTTTTGTCTCAACTTTGCTACATTTTAGTGTCCTTTTAACCAATGGGGGATTGAGTTTGGAAAAGTAAAGTGATGATTGGTTAAAGGTTTATTTGGGGAAGAGTGCATCTTCCCGTAGGGGGTGACAGGCAAATGTGGAGGATTCCATAATACCCACTCCGAGATTAATGGTCATGGGCCACATGAGCATTAATATGTATAGTAGCTTGTAAATTTGGTAGGCCAGTGCGCATGTCTACCCAACCTTGTTCAGGTAGGTGGATTATATACCGATTTAGTTGCTGATGAGGAGTGTGCACGAGACGACTTTGAATCACGAATTGTTTGTGGCGTGGTCGAAACCTTGTTGTCCGGATTAATGTAAGCTGGCTTCAACCTATCGATGCTGACTGTTGTATGTTTCCCCGCGAGATTGATAATGAAACACTTTGGTGCTCGAGAGATTACTTGGTGTGGTCCAGTGTAGTTAGGAGTTAGGGGCTTGCGGACTGAGTCTCGACGAAGGAAAACAAAGTCAGTTTTGTGTAGATCAGCGGGGACATAGTACGGTTTGTGATAAGCCCGAGTTGGTGTATAAATAACGTCAGACATCTTTTGCCTAAGATCGGTAACGAAATGACTGGAAGGAAGGTTTTCGGTTACTGGGCTGAAAATTTGTCCGGGCAAGGTCAGAGGTGTTCCGCAAACTAACTCGGTACTAGTGCACTTTAGGTCCTCTTTAACGGTGTTGCACAGAGCTAACATAATGAAAGGTAATTTCTCGACCCACGTTCAATGCTGTCAGAGCATACTTTAGTTGTCGGTGGAATCTCCACCAGGCCGTTCGCACAAGGATGATATGCGACAGTGGAAATGTGTTTAATTCCCAGGAGATTGGTAAATTCACTGAAGAGTGTAGATTGGAATTGCGGGCTCCTATCGGTGATGATCACCGAAGGGCACCCGAAGATAGTGATCCAATGCGTAAAGATGGCATTGGCGACTGATTCAGCTGTTATAGATCCGAGCGGTACGGCGACTGGCCATCGCGTGAAACGGTCGATGATTGTAAGCATGTACTCAAAACCGTCTACGCGTTCCAATGGACCAACTAAATCCACATGTAAGTGAGTAAAACGTCCGTCTGGATTGGGGAAGGTTGACACCGGCGTTTTAGTATGTCTGCCAACTTTTGTTGCTTGGTAACGTAGACACGTGCGGGACCACTGTTTTATGTCAGCTGTCATACCAGGCCAGATAAATCTGTCTGACATGGTCCGCAACTTTGCCTTGCCTCCTGGGTGTGCTTGAGAGTGGAAATGGTCGAAAACAAGACGGCGCATAGTTGGTAGTATATACGGGCGTTGGTTACCCGTGCTTATGTCGCATTAAACTGACCTATCCGTGAATGGAAGCTGTCGTTTTTCAATTTGCAGGGAACTATCTGATCGAACAGCTGACAGCGTGTCGTCGTTAACTTGCTCATCCGCCAAGGTGTCGAAGTTTAATGCTGCAAGTTGAACTGCGTTAAGGGTCGTACGAGACAAAGCATGTTGCTGGTGCCGCTAACGTAACGAATATCTGATGTGAATTGCGCTATCTAGTCCAGGTAGCGGATGTCACGCGGATTATGTTTTTCGGACTTCGCACGTAAGGCGTATGTTACTTGTTTGTGGTCTGTGAAAACCACAAAATCCCACCCTTCCAATATATGTCGATAGTGTCTGATGGCTAAGTAAACTGCCAACAGTTCACGTATTCACAGTGCTGTATTTGGCTTGGGCCGAATTAAGCTCGACGGAGAAGAACGACAGTGGCTTTTCGATGCCGTTAACAACTTGATGGAGTACCGGACCGACCGTATTAGACGATGCGTCAGCGTTCAAGATTAATTTTGCGTCGGGTGAAGTTGCTATGTATGATACCTTAGTGCAGTTTTGTAACACCTGTTTGGCTTTGTTGAAAGAATTTAATTCGTCAGCAGACAAAGCAATTTTAGGATTCTTTTTCTTATGTCTAGAAGGGAGGTTTATCAATGGCAAGAGTACAGGGGTTGGACAAAATAATTGGAACAGTTGCAAAATCCACTCCTCTATTTCAAATACCTATTATATTAAGAACTTTAACTAAAACTTCGTAATTGCAGGTTATATCTATTGTAAATACGTTTATTTATCTAATTTACTGTCTTATTTATTTTTAGAATTTAGTAAAATTTAAGCTAAATGCGGGACCTCTCCGAGTTCGAAAAAGAGCAAATTGTTGGAGCTCGCATGGCAGGAGCCTCGATCACTAAGGTTGCTGAACTGTTTTGTTTTTCAAGAGCAACCATATCTAGAACATTGATGCACTTCGAGAAACAGGACAAGACCTCTAGCAACCGTAGCAATTCGGGCCAGACTTGCAAACTTACTGACAGGGATTCACGTGCATTGAAACGCAATGTGGCAAAAAATCATCGGACAAATGCGGCCAAAGTGACTGCTGAGTTGAATAACCATCTGAATAGTTCAGTTTCTACTAAAACTGTTCACCGTGAGCTCCATAAGGCTCCATATCATGGAAGAGTCGCTGTGAGGAAACCTCTTCTCACCACTCGCAACATTCAAAAGAGGTTGAAGTGGTGCAGAGATCACAATGCCTGCTCTGCAGATCAATGGAAGCAAGTCATATTCTCAAACAAATCCAGTTTTTCTTTTTTCCCAACTTCAGGGCGAGTTTATGTGTGGAGGCAGTCCAAAAAAGCTTACAACCCTGACTGCCTTCTTCCAACAGCGAAGCATGGAGGTGGATCAGTGATAGTTTAGGCCGCCATATCATGGAAATGTCTCAGTCCAATAGTTGCCCTGCATGGTAGAATCAACAGCAAAGATTACCTGAACATTTTGGGAGATCATGTTCATCCAATGTCCAAGACTTTATTCCCTGATGGTGACTGCATCTTCCAAGACGATAATGCTCCAATACATACTACTCGAGTGGTTAAGAATTGGTATGAAGAGCATGAAAGTGAGCTAGAACACATGGAGTGGCCTCCCCAATCTCAATATATCAATATTATTGAGCATTTGTGGTGCATTTTGGAGCAACAAGTTAGGAGCCACTATTCTCCACCGTCGTGTCGTAAAGAGCTGGAGATGGTTTTAATGGAAGAATGACTGAAAATTCATCTGGATGAAGTCAGGAAGCTGTATGATTCCATTCCTAGACGCATTAAAGCTGTCTGTGAGGTTAAAGGAGGACCAACTCCATATTAAATAAAAATTTCTTTGAATTTAACAAGTGTTCCAATTATTTTGTCCAATCCCCGTATGTCGGCGCAGTTGTATATGAACTGGCAATAGTAATTTACCATCCCTAAAAATCTACGTAACTGGCGTAGGGTTGACGGTGGTGGGAAGTTGCTGATGGCATTTACTTTCTCGTCTAAGGAAGTTAACCCGTGCTTATCAATGACGTGACCGAGAAAAGTCAGCTTAGGGACGGCAAACAAGCATTTTTCGACATTTAGTTTCAAGCCATAGTGTTGTAGTCGCTGGAATACTGATTGCAAATGGTTGTGGTGTTTTTCGGAGGTCTTGCTGGCTATCAAAACGTCATCAATGTAGGCATAGGTAAAAGGTAAATCGCGAAGAACTTCATCGATGAGTCGCTGAAAAGACTGCGCTGCATTACGCAGACCGAATGGCATCCTTGGGAATTCGTACAAACCAAAAGGAGTAATAATGGCTGTCGGATGGCTCTATTGGGATTTGGTAGAAGGCTTTCTTTAGGTCTAATTTGGTAAATACACTGGCGCCTTCTAACGATAGGGCGAAGTCCTTGATATGAGGGATAGGATATTTGTCCGGCACAGTTTGGCCGTTCAACAGCCTATATTCCCCGCACGGACGCCAAGTGTCGGCATCGCTTTTATGAACCATGTGAAGCGGTGTAGCATAAGGACTTGAAGATGGTCTAATTATGTCCAATTTGAGCATATTATCGAATTCGTCCTTAGCTACCCGTAATTTAGTTGGATGCAATCGACGAGGTGATGTATGAACTGGGGGTCCAGTTGTCTTAATAGCATGGTTAGTGTTGTGTCTGATGGGCTCTGCATAAGTGGATGGCAACAGTAGTGACTGATACTGTCAGAATAAATTCTCGTAGCCGTTCGTTCCCGGTATCAGCGCGGTCAAAACGATCGTCGAATGCCTAGACAATGCCCCGCGGCGTTGTATGCTAGTGCGCGTGTCGGTAAGTGTGCGTGAGGATAACTCGACAGACAAGTTGAAATGCGCTAAGAAATCCGCTCCGAGGATTGGCGTCTCAACATCGGCTATCTTGAAGGTCCAGGTAAATTCCCTTCTTAGACCGATGTTGAAGGACATAATGCACTCGTCATATGTGCTAATGGGTGTGCCGTTGGCGGCTTGCAATTTTAGTAGAGCTTCCTTGGGTGTCGTTACCGACTTGCTACAGTTGCTCACCGGTATGACGCTGATCTGTGCGCCTGTGTCAATCAGAAATTTGAGGTTGCTGTTGCGGTCGTGGATATAGAAGAGGCCTTTAATTGTTGCCAGGCTGGTCGTTTCCCTGTTGCTTGGTTGAGAGCGTGCTTTGGTATGAACACGGCGGTTGGAATCTTTTTGCGCGCGCACCGAACACCTCGTGGTACCAGCAAAAACCACGTTGATGGTGTCGGGGCTCCGCGATGTTGAACGTCGTCGTTGAATGCTGTGTCGAGTCGCTGAGTTGCTCCGACTTCTGCTTGGTGTGTTTTGGATGTCGTCTAGACGCAGGGAAAGTTTCCTCGATTCTGATGCTAAGGTTTGCAATTGTTGATTTGTGTTTGGAAGTGAATCGTTTGACAACACGACGGAGGCGATGTGATGAGTCGGTCGGGTATCAAGAATCTTGTCTGCTATTGCTGCTAATTTTTCGATGCCCACTTCATCAGTTAATGCGGCGAGAATTTGAACTATGTCCGGGTTTAGCTTTTCTAGCCACATTTGTTTTAGTACTGTCTCAGACATATAATTGGTGTCAAGCAAGGTTTGCATCTTGCGTAAGAGTTGGGAAGGTTTATTGTTCCCCAGGGTTACGTTGGTTAAGAGGTCTTTAATTTTGCGTTCTTCCGAACAACCTGTTCGTTGGAGTATAGACTGTTTAGGCACCTCGTAAGGCTTATCTGGTGGGAGCTCTTTCAGGATGTCCGCTACCTCCGATGCCACGTCGGCAGGTAGCTTCTCCACTACAAATGCGAATTTGGATTGTTATGAAGTAATACGCCTCGCTTGGAAAATTGCATCAATTGGACGAACCACGTTTGCGCGTTGGTACTATACGTTGGAAGTTCTAATCTGAGTGCGGCTTCAATTGGTGGCACGGGGTCAGCCATATTGATTCGGTTCTTTTTTGGAAGGAAAGAAAAACTGAATTTGGCACCTTTTTAACGGGTAAACAGTTGCAGATTTTGTGATGAGTGATGGTCGTTGTCAGTGCTGCTAAATTCGTTAATGATGTGTAGTGTGCCAGTCTTTATCAAAAACGTTGGAGTTATCAATTTTTTTGTCGGGTTTACCAAAAATTTTTTAGTTGGAACGTCGGAGTCACCAATTTTATTGCGGAATCTATGCTGAGTAAAATGTATCAGAAGGTGATTTTTTGTGAAGGCCAAGAATATGCGTGATCGTAATGCATTTATCCACAAAAAATAAATCAAACAAAAATAAATAGGCAATTCAACTTCAAGAAAAATGCTTCTCTATGTGTATATATGCATATACATATGCGTATATGTATGTGTATATATATATATGTGTGTGTATGTGTGTACACGTGTATATATATATATGTGTGTATATGTTTGTCTGTAGGTAGGCTCTTCTGTAGTGAAGAATGTGTACACATATTTTCTTTCACCTACTGTTATATTTTTGTACTCGTCTAGGTGCACTAGTGCGTATATAGTTATATATGAAATATATTTTTATATATATTTGTGTACAGTATTTACATTAGTCGGACTATTGTCCTCATCTTTGTCGCCATATTTGTCACAACGTTTCGGCCGTTGTACGCTCCGGCCTTCTTCAGGTGGTTGGAATTTCGAACTGAACCCTTTATTTCGATCGCTGGGGTAGACTGTTCTAATTCCACGTGCCATGTTTGATGGATGTCAGTTATCAGTTATCTCCTGCTAATTTTCCCTCTGAAAGTTCTCCACTGCCTTAACCAGGAATTGAACTCACCTTCTTTAGGTCTGTCACTGGATCTAACCAACGCCTTTATCCACTGTGCCTTGAGGACATCTGGGTATGAACTTCTGAGTATTATAAACCTAATGTTTTCAGCATCATTTTTACCAGTGCTCATATTGCAATTTTTGCTGTTATCATTGCATGTCTTTACCAGAGTTCATATTGCAACTTTGTTATCATTGCTTTTCTCTGGCACTCCTTATTACTGGTTCCCATATTGTATTTATTTCTATGCTTGGTCGGCTCAGGAGATTTTTGTGGCCTAGCATATGTGCTGATTCATAAGTTTACGAAATTTTCCAATGGTGTTCCTTGTAAATGATCTCAACATGATCCCACAGGGGCGGTGATCTCCCTTCTCTCTCCATATGTGGTCAGCCACGCCTGATTTTTCTACTTCCCCTCGCGTTACAGCTTTCTGGTGTTCTTGAAGCCTTACCTTGAGGGGGCGGCCTGTCTCTCCTTTATATTCCTTTCCGCAGCTGCATGGGATAGCATACACACAGTCTTTAGTCATGTTCCTCTCTATGGGGCGTCTCACTCGTGAAAAAATACCTGCGAAGTGTTGTTGTCACTTTTGGTTTTGTCCTGATGTTATATGGACCGCAATCTTTTTATATTTTCTCTGATAACCCCTTCACATAAGGCAGGCAGACTACCCCAGCGATCGAAATAAAGGGTTCAGTTCGAAATTCCAACCACCTGAAGAAGGCCTGACAATTATTCTAATTGGAGGACAAATATGGCGACAAAGATGAGGACAATAGTCCGACTAATGTAAATACTGTACATAATACCTCATCTCAAAAATATAGACATATATTTGTGTGTTTGAAATTTCTTTTTTATATATTAGATGGTGTTATTTTTATGCATATATATGATATGAGAAGACAAACCAGGTTTTTTTCTATCCATGTTATCTGTTTTAATGTCCTTTCTTTCCCTAATGTTTTTTTTCTGTTCTGCCCATTTGTTGAATTGTATCTATTCTACTATTTTAATCTATATATAAATTTGTATAAGTTATATTTTAATAATTGGTTAGAAATTCGTTTAATAACACTTTCAAACTTGAATATTTCTTGGTAGGTATTTCGAAAGCGTCATCATAAATCAATGTATTTGTGTGTATGTACTTGTGTCTTTGTCGGTGTCTGCGTGTGGTTAAAAAGATGTGTACCTTTCATTTGTGTTTTTTTTTTTTTTTTTTCATTCAAATGGGGATATTTCCTGCCTGCAAAATTTTTTTTGTGTGTATATATATCTAAATACGTCTGCGTGCTTATGTATTATAATCTGATTTGTATGTATTGTCTATTGCAAGATGTCATCAAATAAATTTGCCTCTATTTATAATTCAAATGTATCTAGAAATTTGTCATGAAGTTCGAAGCAACATTTGATCTTAACGTTCATTCCAACTTAATTTCAATAAAAACAAAATAATTAGAATAACATGTATTTTTTTCTTTTCCCCCCAGTAATTTCATAACTTTAAACTTAATATAGATTAAATTTAAATTTTAAAATGGCTAATTTTTTATTTCAAATTTTATCGTATAATTTAATATTTATTAGTTAGAATAAATTCTATTTAATCTAGCCCCAACATTAAACCATTAAATAATTATTATAACCTTAGTTCGTTGTCAAGTTTTTTGAATTCTCGTATACTTGTATTTTGATTGGTCATTCCAGCTTATGTAACAGCGTTTCCCCTTAACGAGGGGTGTTTGATTGATTTGAATCTTTTAAAACTCTTTATTCTACATTCAACATCATCATTTGATAAGACACCAGAAGTGTTGAAACAAAATAGCTATTTTTGTAGTGATTTTATAACATATTTATGTTATAATTTAAAATAAATAATTATATATATATATATATATATATATATATATATATATATATATATATATATATATATATATATCGAAACGGTCAGGGTTCGATTTTCAGTAGTGGTTGCGCACTGCCGATGAGTCCCAAATAGAATAGAAACGGCCGCTTAGTGCTTTCTGCATTCTGTTGAGGATTATTCTAGACTCGATGAATTACTATATTGGATATATATATATATATATATATATATATATATATATATATATATATATATATATATACTGGTGCGTGTGTTAAATACGTTCCACATAATGGTAAGTCATTAGCGAGATGAAGACACCATTGCTTCTAATGTCTTCCCATTGTTTAGGGGGTATTTCTGCCGCACTCTGCACATTTATGAAAATATATTTTTTCTAACGGACCTACTTGAAAAATTCTCAGCTCGATCAAGGCGTCTTTCCGTCTCAAAAATCTCATGTTTGCTCAGATTTTGAAATGTTGATCAAGCCGGAAGTTTTCCAACAACACTGTGTGTGTGTGTGTGTGTGTGTGTGTGTGTGTGTGTGTGTGTTTTATATATCCGCATATTTTAGACGTATATCTTGAGATATATAAAAGTAAAGAGAGAATATTAGTAGAAATTTTAGAAATGTTTTATATGAACTATATTGAAATCTTTTACTAGACTTAATACAATCGAAGTTGCATACATTAATTTTCCTGATTTAACTCCTTTATGGATGGTTTATTACGCTATTTCAGAAATTATTTTCAGTGAGACACATATATTTTAGTGCATTCTCTTATTCCATTATTGTTTGCAGTAGTTGCAATTTATTAAAATAGTGGTTTACCCAGCGTAATTAGACGTGACACAAGGTCGCAGTTATGGAACACGCAGTGAGTATCAAACTCACTTTCTTTTCTTTTTATATGCCATGTTTTTTCAGAACGTAGGCGATCATGGCTCTCCACCTCCCTCTACCCCTTGCAGCTTGCAAACCACGCTCTGTCATCCACTTGCTTAAGCCCGCCAGTATAAGCCTCCTCCTTGTTTACAACCTAAGACCTCTTCGTTGCTAACACAGTCCATGATATCCTTAGCATCCTTCTGTAGAACCACATATCCGTCGCCTCGAGTCTCTTCTTCATCTTTGAGGAAATCGTCTAACATTCGCTGCCGTAAAGAAGGACAGATGTCACGTAACAGCTCAGTATTATTTTCTTTGTTACCAAAGAAATCCCTCTGTCTTGCAATACTCTGCCCAGCTTTTGGAATTTATCCTTGGCCATCCCAATACGTCTACGGATCTCAGTGTCGCACTTACCGTCCTCTGTCAAGACGCTTCCCAGATATTTAAACCGCCGCGTCTGCTTGATTCTACTGTTCCCGGCCTGAAAATCCCATTTCGGGCTCTTCCTCTTATTGATGACCATGCATTCTGTCTTTAAAGTCGTCATTCTCAACTGTTGGGGTGGGGACAATAACGACGGCATGTCAGATTTGACCCCATCCCCAGCACAGCTCGGTGGTCTTTGAAAATGGAGACGCTTCCTTTTAAAGTCAGCCGCAACATTTCACTAAGTGACCATTTGACTTGAGTAGAATTGAGCAAGTGGTCCTATTTGTAAGTAGAAAGAAGCGCTTTTTCCACAATAAATGAATACTGTTTTAGTAAGAAGCAAGGGACTTATACTAAGTTAAAACTTAATTTAAAAAATAAAAAAACCTTTGATGTATTCACAAAAAAAAATTAAGTATTCCAGTCGAAATGAAATAACTAAATATTTATATAAAACCAAGTTACGAGTGAGGTGCTTGTTAGCAGTGGGACGAAAAACAAGACATGACAAAGGGCGTAGGAACTCTCTGAGTCAACGGCCAGCTAACTAGAGAT